ACTAGAAATCTAAAAAAAGAACAAAACCTTTAACTTTTAAACCGGATATTTAATCAATAATGCCTGGGGGTAAAATCTCGTCAAGAAAATGATATTCTTGGCTGATTCTGTAATCAAGATATTTATTATTGTGAAGGCCGAAGCTGAAAGCGGTTAAAGTAGAACTTGTCGTAATAGCTACTATATTACAGTATTATAAATAGTTATTATAAATAGCTATATCGAGACCATAAGACATCAATCAATAACGAATATCCGTTAATATCCGCTGATCTAATAGTAACACATTTGATAGTACCTGCTTATTTTACATACAACCGAGCAAGTTTATTGGTCAGTATAGATAAACATGGAATTCTTTTGAGTTAGCATTAAAGGATTAAGGGATGTGCTGCTTATTACGTAATTTCGTTTTACTAGAAGACCCTTCTTCCTCTCCAGGTGATAAACCAGCAGCCAATCATAAGATTTATTTTTATATGTTGACAAGGAAGACTGCCTCTCCCAAAACATTACGTCACTCCACTAAAGAAAATGTCATTGTGATCAGAAACTTTAACTTTAGCTGCATTTATGTATATATATATTACAGGTATTAGGAATTTATTACGGTATTAAGCAGTTTAACCTCAATATAATCACTAAGTTGGTAACAGTGCATATACATACTGTATGTCAAGAATAAATTGTCAAAGAATAACTATATCGAGGTTAGACTATATGTCTAATTTATGTGATGGCTTTGTTGATTAATGTTAATTCAAAAAAAATGAAATTAAATACGTGTCGGTAAACATATTGCATCTAAACTTTCATAGTTTATATAGTTTATATCTTTATGCATTTTTAAAGCTATGCATTTCAAAAAAAAATTTAATTGTAAAGATATTGTAAAGATATTTGGATCTCAAATTATTTTTAATGTTTTGAGATAATTTTATAAAATATATAAATATAAATATAATCTAAAAAAAAATTTAGAAGCTATTTTTAACTTTCAAGAAACATAAAGTAAAACTAATATTTTTTAGATTTTATCGACATAACACGCGAAAAAATAAATACGTCAACTGTTCTCATTATGTAAATTCGCCATTTAAACCCCAAATTCTTCTTCATAACAAATTAAAGTTTCAGGACGGCGGCTATTTTCGGGTCAACCTTTATTAAATAATATATGAATTTCTAAAAATGTTTTTTTATTAAAATAAAATCGGACAAAAGTTTATAGTATATAAGTTTCCAAGTTCGGATCTTATGACTAGGTTTCTAAATGGAGCCTTGATTTTTTAGAATATCCGTGAAATGATTGAAATGATTGATCTCGAAAATCTTACAAAAACCGAAATAGAAAATAATCACATATGGACAATTTAGTGTATATTAATTATTTATTATACTTATTTATTCTTACGTGTCACTTTTTTATACAATTAATCCCCCTAATTTCTATTTATTTCTATTTTATTTACTATTTATTTATTTATTTAAAATAAAAAAAAATTCTATTATTAATTTTTTAACGTATACAAACAAATCCTTGTAAAGATAGTTTTGTTGACTTAATTGGTTAGTCTGATGCTAGTCTGATGTTGGTTTGATGTTGGTTTGATGTTGGTTCATGTGACTCAATTTCTAAAATGTCTCTAAAATGCACAAACTCCGTAAATGCTGCAAACTAAAAAGTCTCTGTAAAAGTATAATCAGGTCTAGTGTGACTGTAACAAGGACGTATCCAGTATCTGTAACAAGCCTAGTAAAACTATACATATTTGAACATTGGAACACCGTCATGTATTAATATGCATAATTATCTCCTTTTTAGTATATGAAAAAGTCGGATGACAATATACATGCATCTGCATACAGAGTTATTGTATCTAGTTTGTTTATTGCAATGAAAGATTTTCTGTACCCAAGTACGAATGTTCATTGAAATCATCATTAAATTTATAAATACCTTTCACCATTTAGAAATTATAATTAACGAGGGAAAAACTACATAAAAATAGCGGTGGGTTGATTCTTTAATTTCGCTGGACGAAATTTTATATCTCTCAAATTTCTTAAAAAAGATTACTATACTATATATTTTAAAAAAAAATAAAATAAAATAAGTTATTAGAGATGATATCATCAACACCATCCGTTAATATCCAAACCCCATCGTTCACAAATTTACCTGCAGCCCAAATATCCCAAATATCTCAAATCTCCCAAGATTCATCAACATCATCGTTCGTAAACATTACTACAGACACATTTTCTCATACATCAGCAGGGCTTTCAAATTTTATTATTGAAAATGATGAAGTGACAAATACTTGCTTAGAAATAAAATTGGTTGAACCAGTTATTTTTTTTAGTAAACCTGAAGAATCCGTAGGTTGTATCTTAAGAGGTGATCTGATTTTATATTTATCTAAACCTACAAGAATTCGAAAATTGGAAATGAATTTTGTTGGAACAGCTGAAGCTGCATATAATCAAGGTAAATACTGTAAAATTTTTCTAAATTAATAAATTTTGAAAAATTTTATTAATTAAATTAAATAAAATTAATAAAATTAATAAAATAATAAAAATAATAAAATAATAAAATAATAAAATTAATAAAATTAATTAAATTAATAAATCTTAATACGTATATTTATATTTAGACCGAAAAAAATTCAAAAGTGAAATCATTTCTCATAAATGGAAATTTATAATTCCACAAGAACAAGATCAAAAACGAAATAAATTTCTAAACAATCCATTTCGAAAAAGTAAATCAACAAAATTACCCGCTGGCATTCATACGTTTGCTTTCGAAAAGTTTCTTCCCGGAAATCTTCCAGAAACCATAAATACTGATTTAGGAACCATCTCATACGAATTATATGCAAAAGCTTCAAGGTCAAAACTCTTACCAAAATTACGATTACATCAACCAATTGAAATTTTACGTACTATTCCTGATCATATAAATTCACAAGGAATTGCTGTAGCTAGAGAATTTAATGATATGTTATCATACGAAATTTCAATTCCAAAAAAAGCCTACCCATTAGGTCAATCTATTCCAATCGATATGAAAATTTGCCCTTACATAAAAAAACTTGAAGTAAAAGGTGTAAAAGTTGATTTGGTAGAAAAAACTACTTGTACCTCTCCATTAAAGCCAAAGATTACCGATGTTCGAATTGGTTCAACTCAAGTTTTGAATAAATTTGGTGAAAATCGTTTAATTGAAGATCATGAAGAAGGTGACGTTGGAAATGTCGTTTATCAACAAACCATGAATTTGGATTTACCAAAATGTGCTGCTCCACTTCATTATTCTTGCAATACTCCATTAATTAGTATTGCTCATGATTTAAAATTCGCTTTTAATTTATCTTTGCCTCAAGATCCTCCTAAAAAAGCTGAACTCAAGATAAGTTTGCCAATAACTATATTATCTTGTAGAGCTGTAGATGACTATGTAATATTACCAAGTTACGAAGATGATAGTTATTATTGTCCTTGCGATCCTGAATATATGAGAATGGCAAGGTTGGTACTAGGTGAAGATATTGGTTGTCGATTAGAAACTAAATGTAAACTTAGTGATCATAATCACAACCATTTTCTAAATGTGCCTGGAAGAAGTTATGATCCACCTAGTTATGAAGCCTCTATTGCCGAAAGTTTTGATTCGAGGGGGAATTTTGTTTATTAATTTTATTAATTTCTTTTAAGGGATGAAGTTAATTTTTATTAATTGCTTTTAAGGGATGAAGTTAATTCGTTTGGGAAATTCTTCGCATATTACTTTATTGTTTTTTATGTCAAATACTTTGTATATACATATTATATAGACTTTATTTTCTCAATGAGAGTTGTAAAGCACCATGTACCTAAAAAAAAACACGAAATTGATCAACATCTATAAACATTTAACTTGAAATCATCCGAGAAATAACATGATAAAATACCATCGTAAAGGTTGATACGCAGCAATAACATTCTTGCCGTAAGTTATTAATCTATTCTCGGCCTCATAGTCAGTAAGAGGTTTGAAATCATCATCTAAAATGACTCCAGGTTTCTGAGTAGGTTGTGAGGCGGTAGCACCCTTGGGATTATTATCATCAACGACGATGATAGTAGTAATCTCATCGGAAGAAGAGTCTATATCACTCTTGACGGAATCAGTCATCATTAAGGAGGTTCAAATATTGTTATTCTAGTCAATCCAGTAAAATTTAAATAAGATAGAGGGCCTTGTAGTCAACCTGAGAGCATATCCGTAAGGAAGAAAAGATAAAAATCAAAGTTTATATAAAGCTAATCAAATATCTAATGTCAAAAGAGAATTTTTATGAATATATATATATATTTTTTATGTTATTTATTTTATATCTAGGTGGCTGAATAGTGTTAGTGATACATGTTTATCGTGTTTACCTGTAAACCGTAAACTGCCAAGAGCATCTAGATTAATGTTATGCCCAAATTTGGGGCTAGTTATATCATTTTGGTTACTTAAAATGAATGAAGTAGTCGAAATTAAAAATATCTTTCCAAGATTGCAACAATGGATTATAATTTTTATTTTTTTTTAAAAAAAATATTGAGACATGATTTGCAATCCAACATACTGATAAAGTCGTCTATCAGTTGTTATCTTTCATGTAGTTTTTTTTTTTCGTTGTCTTAGGATATAGGGTGTTGAAAATTTCATAAGCAATCTAACTCACCAAGGCGTTTTCCGGTCGTCTCCTTGTCGATCGATCACACTTCGAGCTTTGTGCGGCGCAAACATGTAAACATATTTAAGTTCACGTTCACAAGGACGCCATACCAAATATAGGGCGTATGTATGTACTCACAATGTACTCATATCTAATAATTCCTATGTATAGAACCTGCGGTCCTTATATGATAAGACTTACTGAACCTTATCATTATTTAGTTAAAGAATGTCATTCTTAAAAGAGTTGGTTTAAGGAAAGTCGATATATTCTTTAACTCTTTAGTCTAGTATCTGCATTAAAGTTTTTTTCTTGTAGATTATTACTTTGATAATATTGACATCGAAGTTCGATGTTCGATAAAAAAACTGCAATACAAACAATTACAAACATTCGTGATTCAAACGTAACAAGAAAAAATTTTGAGAACAAATCAATTTTTTTTTCAAGAGATCGTCAGCATACCTATACCGACATGGTAAAGTGTTTACCAGTCAGAATTGTTTTACCCCTAAAAAAAAAAAAAAAATGGGCTGTGACTTATCGGTTTTTCGGTTTTTATCGAAAGGATTGAAAGAATTGGTAAAATTTTCTTTATATACCGGCTATTACCGCTGAATTTCATTAATACCAAGTTAGGTAATATCGATATCATAGTTCGGGCTTTGGGCTAATGATTTATCATTATTGGTTAATTTAAAAAATTGTAACTAAAGGAACGGTCCGGAAGGAACGTCCCGGTATTGATTCAATTTTCATTTTCATTTTCATTTTCATTGATAACTTATAAATTTTCATTTTCATTTTCATTTTCATTGATATTTTTTATTATTAATTAACATTATTATTATTTTGTTAAGGTTATAGATGATGATAAAGGTAGATGGTGATAGTAGTGTAAGTG